GCATATGCCGCTGGGTTGGCCGCGGCGGAGCCTCCGCCCCCTCCCTTGGAGGACTCCCGGACGGAACCGATTGCGGCTGGTTTGAGCTGGTGCGTCTCCATGACGACACACCCGGCGCTATAAGTAGTGGTGCTCCGGCGGTGTCGGGCTTTGTCAGTCCCCTCCAGCCTCCGCCGCCGGCCGCCCCTCTGCCAGCAGCTCCAGCGCCACCTTGGGCCAGCGGTCCTCCGGCAGGAGGGAGCGAGGCGGGCGGGCGGCTGACTGGGCGCGGCGGAGGCGGCGGGGACAGCGCCGGAGTAGCCGAGCCACTCTTCAGCGCTCCCACTGCGGCATCTCCGTGGGGCCGGCCCGCGGCGCCCATGCGCGCTAAGGTGAGAGAGGCCAGGGTCTGGGGCAGTAGGAGGGAAGGAGAAGGCCACGTGTCCCTACGCGGCCCGCAGGCCTGCATCGGGTCTGTTGGGGCCCGGACCCGGGGGGACGCGCTAAGTCTGCGTTGTGCTGCCGAGACTTGGTACCTGCAGCTGCGAGAACAAGGACTCCGGTCCCGTACGATCACACGTGGTCGCAGAACCGGCCCGTGGGAGTTTGCTGCGGGCCAGAACCCGGTGACCTTGGTAAGCCTCTCCCACCCCCAGACCCCCAACTTATGTTCTCTCTTGTGAAATGGGGATGCTGATCTTTTGCCCTGTGGCTCTATGCCGGACGACAGTCACTTCCCAGCGACGCATTCCGGGTCCTGTCCTTCATTTCTCAGGCCTTAAAGACATTCAGGGGTGGAGGGAGCCTTGCGGAGAGCTAGTCCTTTATGTGTTTTACAACTGTTCCCAGACGACGTCAGTTCTACTGGAGGCTGTTGATGCCCCATACAGTTCTTTCAGCCACTTGTCTTTTTTAAATTGAAAGCCCTTAGAGCGCGCTGTGTAGCAGGTGCAGAACATGTATGATGAATCGAGCCCTTCAAGATCTTCTGACTACCGGACAGCGACTACCATCCCTGATGTTCATTTTTATAATCCTAGTTGCCCTGGGCTTTTATAAAACTTTAGTTCTTGTTTTTGCTATGTAAGCAGAAAAATGATCCTAATGCTGAAACCCGTGCTTTAATAACTCACCTAGTCGTGACCTAGTATTGTTTAAAAGGATCTTTGAATCATGTGTGATTTAACAATCATGTGTGATTTAAGAAGAACCTAGAATATTAGAATAGTATTTAGGCGAACAAACCTGCACATGGGAGCCATCCCCAAGATTTCCAGAAAGGACCCATTGTGTTCTAGGATTTTAAATAATTGGTGCTTTGGGAGCAGAATCTCAAAAAGTGTCAGGGGAGAACAAAGAATATGCTGACTTATTTTATTTAGACCTACTGTGAGATGTTGTTTAATTGGCTTGTGAAAGTTTGTTTGAATTAGTATCTCTTTCAACATCACTATACAAAAGATATTCTTACATGAAATTTTTATCACAAGTTTTTGCTCAGATATGCAGTAAAACAAAATACTTAATGGTATGTTACAGAGAAATAAACACTTTCTGAGTTTATGCCTGAACATTAATTTAAAGATATTTAACAAGATACTAAATAACCCAGTCTGTCACCACTTGAGACTATTAGCCAGTTGTAAATGTTATATAGATGAAAATAAGGGTTTACTGGCATTAATCTCTCACTTTCCCTAGAGGTGCTTTAGGCAGCTTATGAGATTGACAATGCCAAAAAGTCACATTAGATTTGGTCTTGAAACAAGTTCTGCCGTGCATGGGTTTGGATTTATGGCAGGCCGATCCCTGTGGGCCTTTCATAGTGTCCCATGCTAGAGCAAACTGTAGCCCCGAACCATTGCCTGGCCTTCTTGCTCATAAGCTGTAGGCACTGAAGGGGGTTGCACAGTAGAAAATATGAAACCCTAACTGGCAGAATTTAAATAGGATAAAATCAGTAACTTAAAAATAACTGTTACACGCCAATGTCATATTTCTTGAAGGCCAGGGACACTGGCTTTTACTGTTACTAACATCATATTTTTGCAATTCACGTAGTTAGCCAAAAATTACTCCCATATGATTATCATTCATCTCTAAGCAAATATTAGACTGCCTGTAAGGACAATATAAATTCTCAGAATTGTTAATTGGGTAAAACAAAACCAATGCAAGGATGTGGATTTCTGACGATATACTGCATCTGTAATATAGTATGTTGATTCGAAGACTGCAATTAAAAAAAGAATAATGCCCAGCTAAAAATAGTATGAAAACTAGCTCATAAAAATTCTCAGGAAACTGGAGTTTCTCAATAAGTCCAGTGTGTTAGACATTTCTCTGCTTATTAGTCACTAAGAATTATTTTGTATAATTAGTGAAAGTAGGGAACAGCAAGATGTTTATATGGTTACTTTTTTTTATTATAGTTATAATGCTGTTTTAAGGTTCTAAGAGCTGAAACTACTTTGACAAAGCAAGCTGACCATTATAAAACTTTTTTTTCCCCGTGTCGATGCACTAAGTGCAGATAAGCTTTTGAAACTTTTTTGAAACATTTTTTGGCATGAATATTTGAAATATTTGTTTTAAGATATACAGTACAATCTATGGAATTTTAATGTGCTGTTATGAAAAATTCTAAAATTTTGAATTCATGATATCATCATATGCTGCAGAGTTGTATGGAATTATGTGAATTACAACTAGGAGTAATTGGGATTCCCAAGATGGTAATTGACTGACTGACCTTGGGTGCCCTGTTTACTATATGTACATGTAGTCAATGCCTGGTCCTGATATTCCTGAATATTTGATGTATTCCTAAGGTAGACAGCAAATTCTTTGTTTCTGTTTTATCAGAAGGTTTCCATTGGTGCACCAAGGGTACAAGCCTATTATTCAGTGGGATTTGGAATGCCTAGAGAATTGCCTTTGTGAAGAGCTGGAAGTCATTTCTTTACATTCTGTCTCTTAGTTTTCCATGTAAGTATTTCCATTTATACTTTTGTTGCAGGTGGATGTTTTTAAAAATTGTGTTGCTAAGGCTTTTGACTGAATTTCTCCACCATATTTATAGTTGGTGTTTCAGAGGAACATCCAGAAACCATGAATAACTTTAGTAATGAAGAGTTTGATTGCCACTTCCTTGATGAAGGTTTTACTGCCAAGGACATTCTGGACCAAAAAATTAATGAAGTTTCTTCTTCAGTAAGTATATGAGGTCCATGTTGACAGTGCAGTTGTGTGAACATCGGGCAGATGAATGGGAAGCTTCAGTGAAGTCTGGAGAAGAAGTGAAATGGAACTTCGATGTCTTATTTGGGAATTTAGAATTTAATTGGCTGTGGATTGCCTAGTGAAAGTAGTGATACTCATATCAATGACTGCACTAAGAGTAGTATTCATTGAGAATGATGGGGAATCAGAAAGGGAGGCTGCATTTTAGTTTAGCATATTAAAGGGTAGTGTTTACTTGTAAGGTTATTAATGAGTCAACTTTAACTATTATTTCAGGATGATAAAGATGCCTTCTATGTTGCGGACCTTGGAGACATCCTAAAGAAACATCTGAGATGGTTAAAAGCTCTTCCTCGTGTCACACCCTTTTATGCAGTCAAATGTAACGATAGCAGAGCTATAGTGAAGACCCTAGCTGCCATAGGGACAGGATTTGACTGTGCTAGCAAGGTAAGCAATTAGGGACAGGATTTCACTGCTGGCAAGGTAAGCAAATGCAGCAGGATTAGGAAGTGAAATATATCAAATGTCCCTGTTCCCCCAAAGCAAATAAAAATTCCATTTCTTGGGCAATAGACGCTAATGGGGAAAATGAACTTCTCATGTTTTTCTGTTTTTTTTTTTAATACATTGTATTGAAATATAATTTACGTACAGTGGAATAAAACTAAAGTGGCATCATGATTTTTCTGTTTGTTGATTCTGTTTATTAGCTATGTTGAAAAGTATAACACCACACTTCTTTTTCAGACTGAAATACAATTGGTACAGAGTCTTGGTGTGCCTCCAGAGAGGATAATCTATGCAAATCCTTGTAAACAAGTATCTCAAATTAAGTATGCTGCCAATAATGGAGTTCAGATGATGACTTTTGATAGTGAAGTCGAGTTGATGAAAGTTGCCAGGGCACATCCAAAGGCAAAATTGGTTTTGCGGATTGCCACTGATGATTCCAAAGCAGTCTGTCACCTTAGTGTTAAATTTTGTGCCATGCTCAAAACCAGTAGGCTTCTTTTGGAACGTGCTAAAGAGCTAAATATTGATGTCATTGGTGTCAGTTTCCATGTGGGAAGTGGCTGTACTGACCCCGAGACCTTTGTGCAAGCAATCTCTGATGCCCGCTGTGTCTTTGACATGGGAACTGAGGTTGGTTTCAGCATGTATCTGCTTGATATTGGTGGTGGCTTTCCTGGATCTGAGGATGTGAAGCTAAAATTTGAAGAGATCACGAATGTCATCAATCCAGCATTGGACAAGTATTTTCCCTCAGACTCTGGTGTGAAAATCATAGCTGAGCCAGGCAGATACTATGTTGCA